AATTAAAGATTGAATCTTAAAATCTAGAGCTAGAATTAGGCTTAAATCGAAAGTAAAAAGAGACAAAAGTGAATTCTAACCAACATGCGGTGTTCGAGTTATATCACTGTCCACAAATATCTAATTGTACTTATTCTAATGATATTTCAAAGCTAACATTTAGGACTTTAATTCATTTTAATCCCACAAAGCCAAACTAACACCAATTCTGGGTCGAAATCAAGTTACTCATTCATTGTACGAGATTATGTGATTATTATTTATGATATCTCTTTCATTATATTACTAAATCTTTTCAAATTCTAGATTTTATACAATCATACTTTCTAAATTTTTATTAGGATTAGGATTTTTAGAGATTTGATTATTTTTTTTTAATTTTGAACCTATTAAAGGGGGAGAAGAAGAAGAGGGAAAGAGAGATTTAGATATAGTTTCTTTTTCTTTTATATTTTCTTTATTCCTCAACTCTAAATTTTTGTACTCTTCCACATCTAGAATAGTAGTTTTTGTTTTCTAATTCAAGGATCAAGGAAACAACAGTTATGCAAATCAATTTTCAACGTTTGTTTTCAATTTGTATATTTTTTTCTTTTTCTCTCTAATTTATTTAATTTCATGAACTAAAGATATTTATTCTAATTCTAATTGAAAAGTGATGGATTTATCATTATTTAGTTGAAGTATATGAGTCAAATTTAGGAAATTAGGGTTAATTAAGTGGTATGAAAAACTAATGTTTTAATTAAATTCTAGAAATTTCCAAATTTTAATTGATTTTATGTTAATCAAATGCATGATAATTTTTATGTGATCACTTGGTTTAGAGCTTTCAATTGAATTCAAGTTTTAACCACCAAATTATAATTTTATTAATTTAAAATTTAATGATTAAGTGTTGTTACTTTCCTCTTGATTCTTAAATTAAGTGTTTAATTATTTAATTAATTCCTCTTGCTTTAGATTTTGTTTGTTCATTTTATTAAATTTTCTAATTCTAAACTGCAATATGATAAATCGCTTCGGTAATCCTTAAGAGACGACTTTAGTTGCTTGTCTCGTGCTGTAGCTATAGTAATTAGGTTTTCATTATTTTAACCTGTGTATACTCGCAGACTAATCCTTAAAGCTTTGATTGGATGTTTAGAGGGAGAGGGAAGGAAAGGGTTTAAAGAAAGAAAGAAGGGAGGAGAAGAGAGGGGGAAGAAGGGTTAAACTTCTCCCTTGTTTATATATGTCTTTTTTGTTTTTTTTTCAAAAAATATAAAAATATTTTTTTCTCTCTAAAAATTAATATTTCAAAAATTTTACTTTTTATAAATTTTAAAAAAATTATCACTTTAAAAACTAACATATTTTGAAAAAAAATTATTTTTCTAGTATTCTTTTCTTTAAAGTTAACATCACACTCTTTTGAAAATATTTATTTTTTTACTATTTTATTTATTTAATAATCAAATTAAAGAAAAAATGACAAGTTTTAAAAAGAATAAGAAAGCAAGAAGGGATAAATTAGTCAATTTAAAATTTTATTTAAAAAAACTCCACAATAGGAGAACACAAAAAACTAACATCATGAGGATTTTGGAAAGGGTTTAAAACAGCTCCTTAACCTTTCTCGTAATTAATTAACTTCCAAAAAAAGGGTTAAACTTCACTAACTCCTTCCTTCCCTCCCCTCCTAAACATGAAATCTCAACATAGTCTAATAGAGAAGAAGTTGGATCGAATCTCAAACTACGAACGTAGCCACTTCTTTCGCTTCATAACACTTGGGAATACATATCTTATTACCAAGCAACACTTCTGATCCAATAATTTGGTCATTCGATAACATCTCATTATTATTCAAGTTTTCTTCCATAATTTTCCAAGTATAACAAACATTACAATTCATAGCATATTCTAACTTATTTACAAAATAATATAAATATCATTTATGAAGATAAAATTTTATTAAAGAATTTGACGATTATTTTTGCAAATTTTTACTATTATCTTTACATTTTTTATGAGTTACAATGAAAATTTTTACTCGTATAAGCTTTATCCCACCTTTGGCCTAATATAGATAAAGTTAAATTAATCGAAGTCTTATCATAAATGTAGGTGTTTGATGATCTAGGTCTGCTTTTGATCTAATTATGATTTTATTTTTTTTTGTACTTTGCTCCACTCCACAAGAAAGGAGCAAAACAACCAAATTGTTTACTATGAGCCAAAATGAATTCGTTGATTGTATAAAGTCAATGGGTTCACAATTAAGTGTGTATAATATTTTAGAATTTTTTAATAATACCTCTTTATCCATCAAAGTTCTAATGCTTTTGGATCCTCTTATGTGACTTAGTTACGTTTTTATAATTGATGTCGTTTGCTAATTAGAACATGACCCTCTTTGTTGTTATTGATATTCTTGAATTAATTAATTAAAGATTAATTTTAGTTAATTAATTAATTGGTGACAAAACATTTAATCGATTAATGAAATTAAAAAGCAATTTGAGTTTAGGAGTTAAAAAAATACATTTATCTCTTAACTTTTCAACCAATTAATTGAGTTTAGCAAAACTGATGTTTCTTAATACTTTTATTTATCTATTACTTTCTGTAGTAATTAAGGTAATATATCAATAAGAAAATTGTCACTATTCTCTTATCATTAGGTAGTGGTAACATTTAATTAGGTAGTTGATAATTGCTATACATAATTGAATAAAATTGAACTTAGAGACATATAAGTAATCATAAATATAAGTAATCATAAGAAGACACTAAAGTCTCATGTTTTTATCCATTTTAAATCAACTTTAATTTTTCTATATTTTATTTTCTTTAAGTCTTTGATATACTTTATTTCTTATATTTTTCAACCCTAAAATAATCACATTAAAAACTACTTAAATGTGAACAAAATAGTAGTAGGTGCTTCTTTTGTATAGAATTGATATTGAAAGAATCTTAATATTTTTTTTTATTATAATTAATGAGTATACTTTCTCGTGGTTTGAAAACTTTTGAGAATACTGAAACCTACAACAGCAGTTCTTGAAATTCAAGTTTGAACTTTGCTACACCAAAGTTTAGTAAATTTACGGTGAAAAGAAAGTTAATAGATATTTTCTCATTAGCTTTTTTTCCTTTATCTTGTTAACTTATACTTCCTACATCTTTGCATGTTATCTTATTTCACATCCTCCTATTTCTTTCTTTTCTATTTTTCTCTTTCTATTTTACATTTCATCCCATCAAAGTCTAAATGTTCTTATTAGAATTTATTTGCAACCACTTTTTAAGAAAAAATCTCAATTTGATATTTTATATGTTTAAAGTAAATACTAAAGTATACATGACTACATTGATTTTTAAAAGTTTTTTTTAACTAAATTAATTTTTCAAAAGTATAAATTATTAAAAAAATTAGTTCATAAGAAAAGCGAAATGGTGAAATATAGGAATTTTTTAATAATTATATTATGTATTTGATTAATAAATTTTGTAATTTTTTAATAATTAATGTACTAAATTGTTATATTTAATAGTATTTCCTTCAAGAATTTACTTATCGGCATTCTAATATTTAAAACACTAAATAAAGCATTTAATCATTTTTTATATATAATTTCATTTTTTATGCTACATATGCTTTGGATCTTTTAAATTTAATTATTTTTGTATAATTTTATAATTTTTTATTCTTTAAATTAAGTCTTTCTGTGTATATTTCTTTTAATTAGGAGAAAAATATAATATAAAATATGATGGAAGCCAAATAATGTATGATTTGTAAAAAAAAATGTTAATGCATTTAAATAAAACATCAAAACAAAATATATAAACTATAATGGAATATATATATATATATATATATACATATTATTCTATATAGTTATATTTTATTTTACTTATTTGGTGAGAATTCAAAATGAAGAAATTAATTTAAATAAAAAATTAAACTCACACATCCAATAAGAATGTGAGAGAGAAAATATTGTTTTACATATCATTTTGTGGTGTGGAATAATTAGAGATATAAGAAGAAAACACAACAACAACAATAATAATAATAATAAATGGTTCTTGAAAACGTACAATTAATCCTTCATTTTATTAATTTTTAACACTCCGTCCTTTTCATAAAGTCAGCAAAGAATACAGGTCATTCACATTGGCCACAGCGCCATTTACCATTTCTTTTATACAACCCATATATGTCACATATATATTATGGTAAATGCCGATCTTGGAAAACTTTATTAAACATAATAATTGTAAATGGCATTTTTTTTTAATATTAAACGGGGTCAAAAACACAAATGGCATTTTCTTTTAAAAGCAAAACCAATGCCATCAATCTCTTGCTAAGTCTATATACTTAATATAAAAAAATTAGGTTTTGTGATGCGTATTTAAATTTTTTTAAGTAAAATCCTAATTCCAACGTTATAAATAAAAAATATCATTAAAAGATCTAATTTCATTTCTGTTACGAATAGTATATGTTGGATCAGAATTATCCAAATACGCGTGATCTGGAACAGAAATGTATACACCAAGGGAATATATAATATTCATTAATAAAAATTATCTAGCTCCCTTCTCTTTGTCTTATCTGTAAAATCTATATCGATATTACCCATGCCAGATTTTTTTTTTCCCCTAACTTTTTTTGGATACGAGTCATGCAACTCATATATGTTAACTTAGAACGTTTCATATATTAAGATATAATAAGAATTGTCAACGACATTTATTAACACAACCAATGCCTTCAATGATGTGACAATGGACATCAATTTGAAGTCAAAATATACAGCTCCCTTCTATTTGTCTTACCCGTTGAACTTCATCAATATATTACATTGATTCAGTCCTGGAAAGCTACATAGGAAGTAACCAAATCGTTTCCCCTCTACTTCTTCTCACGCCCCTATTCCCACCTTACCCAACTGTGCCCTATCATTCATAATATAAAGTTTCAAAAATGCTCAGAAGAAACTACATCAACTGAAGTTTGCTTGACAATATAGCAGCGGCATGCCATTCCCAGGGTACCCCTTTTGAAAAAGTACGTTGTTACAAATAGTTTACCATGTACTTCATAATGTATCTTTAATTTCCAACTTCTAAAGCAAAATGAATTATAAATGGTAAAAATAGTAAGTATATAAATATGAAAGATTTATGTACATTATGTTGTTTTATTCCCACCAATATTAGAATTCGTGTGCTTGATGAAGCTTGTACCATCAACATGCTCAAACTCCTCCATTTTTTGACGGGGCCTCATGTATAGGGAAGCATGACATGATGCTATGAAAAGGGTGCTTTAAACATAGGAAGAAGACATCTACAAGATCATCAACAAGGGACTCAAGCAATACACATACTCAACATCTTGTTATATCATATGTTATGATGGCATCATCATCCTCCAATAATTCTCAAGAGAGGCATGAAGTGTTCCTTAGTTTTAGAGGTGAAGACACACGGAAGACTTTCACAAGCCATCTTCATGCTGCTTTCAAAAGGGTAGGGATCAATACCTACATAGACTACAATCTTGAAAGAGGAGATGAAATATCAGGGACGCTTCTTAGGGCCATCGAGGATGCAAAGCTCTCTGTGATTGTGTTCTCAAAAAACTTTGGTACCTCAAAGTGGTGTTTGGATGAAGTCAAGAAAATAATTGATTGCAAAAAAACAAGGGGGCAAAGTGTAGTGCCTGTGTTTTATGACATAGAGCCTACCTGTGTACGAAATCAAACAGGAAGCTTTGCAACTGCATTCGCTAGACATGAGCAGCGATTTGTGGATAAGCCAAACAAGGTGCAAAAATGGAGGGATGCTTTGAGAGAAGCAACCAATCTCTCTGGGTGGGATTGCAACATTGATAGGTAACTGACATCTCTGTCTTGAATCTTTCAGTAGGCTATGGGTTGGTTTAGATATCCAGTTTATTTAATTACCTATTTAATTTTTTAAAAATAACAGTTTATGTGTCATAAATTTAACAACAAAATTTATTAAAATAAGCTGTTCATTTGATAAACTATTATAAAATATTTAATGAAATAAATTGAAAAAAAAAATTATCAGAGTCAAATTATTTTCAGAAATTATAAATAAACTGTTCTAAATATTTTTTTGGTAGAAAAGCAATAGAAACAAGCTAGCATAACTTTTTGTCCACATGAAAAGTACTCTCAATACTTGACGCCCTATTGTAATAACATATTTATCATTGTATAAAAAACCATGCAGACCCTGTTAATATAGAGTGAATATAAATTACTTTGTAAGACTCGTAAAAGTTTATTGAATAATAAAATTAATATTTTAAAAAACTGTTATTATTCCTCTGCTTGATTGTGATAAAAACAATCTACAATTAGGGATTTGTAACATCATAAAGTTCATATTTTTAAGGTATCTTTCTGAAATCAATAATTTATGAGTGTCAATTATCTCACGTGTTATATGATCACTAACTATTTTATCAATGTCTTAAGAATGTTTAATTCTTTACTTACATTATCAAACTCATAGGATCAAAAGTTGAAATCCGGCGGAAATGCAATTTTAGTTCATACTAAATAAAAATTTACCAGCTCAACTTTAAATATTGTACGTTCAAAGTTTCCTTTTTCTGGAATATCTAAGATACTTGTCATAAATCAAATTCCAGTTTGAACACATAGTTCAATATCTCAAGAACTGTGAAATTTTAAATTTTGGGCATAACAAACATGCGCTTCCCTTTGAAACAAAAAGCAATACTCATATTTATATGATCAATTATTTGATGATGGGATTGTCTTTTTAATATAGACTTCTGAGTATTTGATATGGATACAATAATGCAGCAATTACATATGTTTTGTAATATATATGTCACGTAGTAAAAATTAATTGTATATATACGTTGGAGTTAGTGTTAACATTTCTTAATAGGTTGGAATCTGAAATTGTTGAGGAAATTGCTATGGATGTGTTGCAAAAATTAAATCGCGTATATGTTGGAGACCTAGATCAAGAAATTGCAAAGTACGAGCAACTAGCGAACCATCAAATGCGATATTTTCAAAGTACACCCCACCCAGCTCATTGGCAAAATCATCAAGCAACTGTCAAACACATAAGAAAACTTCAAATGGAGAGGCATCGACGTTTGCTTCGCATACCTCCCGATATGAACTCAGAGCCCAGCGATTCAAATGCAAACAATGACTTCTACGGTGTTAATTGGTCTAATATATTTAGATATTCATAATTTATATTTTCTATATGTTATATTTATACTAATTCAAACTATGCATGTATTCTATGTATCAATGTGCTCTAAAGCTTACTAATTCAGTTGCACTCTAAATATATGGTGTGAAATGTGCATGTAACGGTATTCCCAGATGTTTCTTTATCAAATGCCAATGAGGCTTGAATTCTTTAAGAATTTTTATGCATGTTGTGAGAGTTTCTATAAGTCATTAACTTTTGACGTGGATTTTTGTTTTTTTTTTTTGGGTAGGATTAACTTAAGTTTTACAGTATAGAGATGGCAATATACCGACAACATAATTAAGGCTTAAGGAATTTTAAAATCAACATGTTAATAATATCCCGGTATAAGACATGATGAATAGTAAAGTACTTAAATAGACATGCATTTTGATAAAATTTATGTAAGAGAACCTGAACCTTGACTTATTTAGTTGGTAATTTCCTCCTCCTTGTTGGTATATTTTGTGGGTATCCTTTGGGTCCAAATCCAAATGGATCTGATGGAAGAAAACCAAAAGTTGAAACAGCTGAGATAGGCTTTTCAAATTGGTGCTTATATAATATTTGTGTACAAACACTCGAGAGGGAAATTTTAGGTACTGAGCCTCACACACGCACCAAGACAATCATCTGAATCCATTATCAGCACTTCATCTTATCTTCCTGAAGATGGTGGTGGTGACACATCTCTCAAGTTGGGGTTAGTTTATCTTATCAACTATCATTTAAAGCTAATTCATGTGAGATTCTTTAAACGAGGCTGTCCAAATTCATTCTTTAATTTATTAATTTTTATGACCTTTCTAGAGTTCTTCTAAGCACCTTAATATTTTAAACACCTTTTTGGTCTCCCAGTTTTTCTTTTTTCCTCTTTCAACTCCCAAATACTGCTCAGCAGCCAAAAGATTTTTAGCATGTCTGCTTAAGATTTTGAAAGGTCCAAAGCCATGTTCAATAGTAGCTCGATATACTGGATTTAAAAAAACAAATATATTCTTATTATGTGCAATTGTAAAGTATGAAAATGGATTCTACAACAGGACTAGAATTGATCTAATTAGAAGTGAAAGTAACATTGTCTCTCAATTCACAATATATAAATATTGTACAATTGATTCTAATGAGTAAAATCTAACAATTTTATTAAATAAATGTGTAATTATATAAAGTAAAACTTATAGAACTAATTACTTTACAATATATACTTTTAATTTTGTATATATTTTCTTGGTTTTTGAAGAGTATCGTTGTCCTTAGAAATTGAAGTTTGGATTATTGTAATAGCCGTAGTTGATGAAGGTTACTCATTTGAGTTCATCTCTTAATTTTTGTGGCCTGCAGGTTACCTCTGCTTAAATAAGCAACATATTGGATATACTACTAAAAACTATGGTTGAATTAATTTCAATCTATTTTCTTGCATAGAATCGACATATATGTGGGGATAACATTTTTTTTTCCTATAGGTTCAATTGCTTTGTTTCATTCATGGTCGGTTCAATTGTTCAAATGAATTTCAAGGGCCACAAATTTATCAATATATTGAGTTCTTAAAAAATTATAAATATACATATACTTCTTTCAATATAATCACCATTTCAACAGAAAGAATGAAAAGTACTTTTTGGTGAGAATTTATATTTTCTTATTTTAGAAAAGCATTTTTAAAATAGATGCATATAAAGATAAAAGTCAGTACAGTGTGAATTGTAATGAGGCTTTGTTGTTTATTTTGTTTAAAATAAATCTGATTTTCAGAAAAGTGATTAAACTTTTAATATGATAACTAATTTTGAATACAAGATTCATTATTTTTTTAAAGACATAATATTTGTTTATAATTCAAACAAAAAAAATTGTCATTTACTAATAAATGTTAAAAGTTAGAATTATTTATCTTAGTTTAATAGAAATTAATTTATCCGATACATGTTTTATATGTTTTAAATTATATTAAATTTTATAACTATTTGTCTAATTAAATATTTTTCAAATCATGTTAATTGATGCTCAAGAACATATATTAAAATTAACCTATAATATCTAAATCAGTACTATTTGAAATATTAAAATAACATATAATATATTTTAATTTTAAAATTAAAATTAAAATGATTTTCAATTGATCCCTTTTTTCTCGGTGTTCTGTTTTGTTTGAATTAAGAAATTTTGGTTCGTATCTGTGAGGTATAGCAAGCTATAAAATAATATATTAATAAATAATATTTTTATAAATTATTTTATTAAAATATTTATCAAATTTATAAAATGATATTTTTATTAAAACTTTAAAAATAACATAATATCCCAGTTTAAAAGCTTCTCTGAAAATAATTAAAAATTACATAAAATAACCATCCTTCTGATATCCCAGTTTGACTACATTAAATAAGTAGTTTCAATATATAAAATTTTTAATTGGACAGGTTCTAATTTTCTAAATCCACACATTTACAGAGGTAACAAAGAAAACACCTATTTTTAAATGAAACAAAAGGTAACCTGATGACAAGTGAGCGTTACCTTAAAATGCTAATATCTTTTCTCTTAGACTCTTACCCTGCTTTCCACCTTATCCTCTTCATCCTAAGACACTTCGAACCAGTATCCACTTCAACGGGCATAAAGCAACAAGAATGTCAAATTGAAGATTAACATGAATTCATTGTGACCATCTTCTCATCAATTTCCCATACAAATTCCTCCCAATATATATACACACAACAAAGTACCTTTGACAATGGCCACAAGCCCTCCTCCTCTGCTTGTCTCTACCAACATAACCACCACCAACCACCATGATCAACACTTTAGCCACACGCGCCTTATCCACTTGTTAAACCAATCTATTGGTATGGCTCAGCTTAAACAAATTCATGCCCAAGCGCTACGCACAATTGACGCTGACCATCCACAAGCTCTCTTTCTTTATAGCAGAATTCTTCATTATACTTCTCTTTCTGATCTCACCTACGCTACTCGTGTATTTCACCACTTCTCTAAGCCCAATTCCTTCATGTGGAACACTCTCATACGAGCCTACGCGCGAAGCACCAACCACAAAGACCACGCATTTGAGCTTTACAATGCAATGATGATGGTGGAAGAAGAAAGTGCTGTTCCCGATAATCACACCTTCCCGTTTGTTCTTAAGGCTTGTGCTTACACTTTTTCTCTCTGTAAAGGAAAACAGGTGCATGCCCACGTTTTTAAACATGGGTTTGAGTCAGATACACACATTTGTAACAGTTTGATTCATTTTTATGCGACATGTGGGTGTTTAGATTTGGCACAGAAACTTTTTCAGAAGAGGTTTGAGAAAAACGAGGTTTCATGGAACATTATGATTGATTCTTATGTAAGGGTTGGTGAGTTTGACGCTGCTTTGAAAATGTTTGGTGGGATGCAGAAGGTGCATGATCCTGATGGTTATACAATGCAGAGTGTCGTTAATGCTTGTGCTGGTTTGGGTGCTTTGTCGTTGGGTTTGTGGGCACATGCTTATCTTCTGAAAAAGTGTGCGAAGAGTGTGATTGATGATGTTTTGGTGAACACTTGTTTGGTGGATATGTATTGCAAATGTGGGTTCCTGGTAATGGCTCAGCAGGTCTTCGAAAGCATGAAATATAGAGAGGTAAATTCATGGAATTCAATGATCTTGGGGTTTGCAATGCATGGTAAGGCTGAGGCTGCATTGGAGTATTATAACCGAATGGTGAAGGTGGAAAATTGTGTGCCAAATTCTATCACTTTTGTTGGTGTATTGAGTGCTTGTAACCATAGGGGCATGGTTGAAGAGGGGCTTGTGTATTTTGACATGATGACTAAGGAGTACAATATTGAACCAAGGTTAGAACATTATGGATGTCTAGTTGATCTTTTTGCTCGAGCTGGGAGAATTGAAGAGGCTCTAAACTTGGTATCAGAAATGCCAATCAAACCGGATGCTGTTATATGGAGGAGTCTTTTGGATGGTTGTTGCAAGCAACATGCAAGTGTTGAGTTAAGTGAAGAAATGGCAAAGCAGGTGTTTGAGTCAGAGGGGACTATTTGTAGTGGTGCTTATGTGCTTTTGTCAAAAGTCTATGCTTCAGCTAGTAGGTGGAATGATGTTGGATTGCTTAGAAAATTAATGACTGATAAGGGTGTGACTAAAGAGCCTGGTTGCAGTTTAATAGAGATAGATGGAGTGATTCATGAATTTTTTGCTGGGGATACCACTCATCCCCAGAGTGAAAATATATATTTGTTTATGAATGAAATTGAGGAGAAGCTAGAATCAATAGGGTATTTACCTGACTACACAGGGGCACCTTTGGTAGATGAGATTAATAATGGGAAAAAGAATAGTCTAAGGTTGCATAGTGAGAGATTGGCCATAGCTTTCGGAATCTTGAACTCAAGACCTGGCATGCCAATAAGAGTGTATAAGAATTTAAGGGTGTGTAATGATTGCCACAAGGTTACTAAATTAATCTCCAGAATTTACAATGTGGAGATAATTGTAAGGGATCGTGCTCGATTCCATCACTTTAAAGACGGTACCTGTTCTTGTAGGGATTATTGGTGATAAATGCTGGTGTCAGGGCTATAATGATATATACATGTGTTGTTGAAAATCTTATATCTTGATGACATTGAAGGACTAGGGAGATGTAATTGCTCAGCTCATGCCTTAGTAGGAGGGTAAAATATAATATGATCTACTGGGTGGATAGAAGAGAGAATAAAACACGCCACCTTTCATTTTGGTGCATAATTCTATTAATAATCAGCGTTGTTTTATCTCAACTGTTTCTCTAATATCCAAATTTCTTATTTAAGTATTTCCGCATAGGGTTTCTTCTATCTTACAAGACAAGAATGCACCAAAATAGCATACTGTTTGTAGAATGATGAGTGTCCAAGCGTATCCTTCATGCACCTATGAATCATCACTTTGTGATTGACATGAATCATTTCATAATGATTTAGGCCAACAACTTAAGACTAGTGAAACATAATTATGTGCCGACCATATAGACCCCGAGACACAAATTCAATAAATGAACAGAACATAAATTGGTTTAATATAGATTTTCACATTGTTGAATTTTCAAGTACCTTATGTCAACCTAGGACATCATCATGGTACGTAATTTATGTGATCCTTTTGCATCCCCTCGTTTATCCTATGAGTTTTGTTGTATCAGCTTTAATTCCAGCTCACGTTCAAACAAAAAAAGAAAACAATGGCTTTCCAACTCAGCTAACGATGTTCACGGATCTATCCTTTCGACTTTCGTGATTATATAATTGAATGGTTCTGTATCATCGACTATCCAGGTTTTTCTTTTTTTTAATAATCCTGAGTTGTTATTTCTGTGCTCAAGTAAGGTGCAGTACACCAATAAATATCTGACACATTAGTCTGGCAACTACACATAAGTCAACTATGATAATTGGCTTAATAAATTTTTTAATGTTTTTTAATAACTATTTATTAAAAAAAAAAATTTCTCAGATTATGTTTTATATTTAAGTCAAATAAAATTAATTTTTTTATTTTTAATTTATCTATTTCATTTAAAATAGAGATAAAATTAATTTAAAATAGAGACAATCAATTAAAACGTAACTCGTGTCACGAGTTTCGTATATAATAGAGACGAAAAAGTTAAATAAAAATTTGAATTTAAATAAATGAGTTGCGGTAGGAAAAAAGAGAAAATTAAATGAGTTGTGTTATATGAAATTTGTAGAATTATGAGTATCAATAGTAAGAAGTGAGAAAAAATTAAATGAGTTATACTATGTGAAAAGTGTAGAGTTAGAGTACGAGAATAATAAATGATATTATTAGTAAAAAGAGAAAAAATTAAATGAGTTGTATTGTGTGAAAAGTGTAGAATTGTCTAAAAATAATTAAATAATAAATAATATTGATATTGGAGAGAGAAAAGAAGTGAGTTGTAAAGAGTTACAGTAAGAGTAGAAAAAGAAGTGGATTGGAAAGAGTTAATTCAAATTTTCATTTTATTATTTTTGTCTTTATTTTATACGAAACTCATAAAATTGGTTATGTTTTGACTGATTTTGTTCTTATTTTAAACAAAATAGATAAATTAAAAATAAAAAAAATTAATTTTGTCTGACTTAAATATAAACATAATTTAACGTAGCAAAAATTTATTCTAGACAGAGAATATTTATATTTATTTTATTTTAGTAAATAGTTATTAAAAAAAATTAAAAAAATCATTAAGCCATGATAATTAGCAGTTAATTAACAATATATCAATAGTTTATCAACTTAGTACAATTAGATGCATCGTATTTGTTGCCTCGCGAATCTATATACTCGAGAGCCTAAAGTTCGAAGTAGAAGGTTCAAACCATGATATACACTCCCCGTATTGGGATCAACACATTGGCTTTTAGTAATGTTTTGAAGTGGTCCACTCCTTTCCAAAAGTAGCATTGATTTCGAGGTAATTTAGTAAGTGTTAATGATGGCCACTCTTTTTCGTTTTCGTTCTCTTACTTCTAGTAAGTAATAGGCAATTGCTTCAATAACCAATCAATCAAGTTATATGTACACCATAGTTTTACAAAAAAATAGGGAGAAAACTTTCAATGGATCAATTGATAAATTGATGGCTTAAAAGTTTTAGGATAATTGATAGAATCTGCGTGACCAAATGGTCTAAGTATATTTCAATTCTTGCCACCCCCTATTCCAATAAAAACAATTTAAAATCAGCACAGGGTAAGTAAATTTGTGCATTTTCCACCCTTCAAACCTTAAAATAATACATATCAAATTATGAATATGTTTTCTTACCTAACAATTTAAACTTTTTAGTTCATGATATATACATATATGTCCACACTAAGATATTTAAAAATCCTCTTGCATAAATAACTATTTAGATTGATCTATAATTTCTTTTTCTTTTGTTTCTGCAGATTCTTTGGATCATTGACAAATAATATGAAGCTTATTGCGTCGATATGATTTCGAAATAACGATAATATGAACTAACACGGGTAAAGTAATTAAAAATTTTAGAGAATTTAAAATTTAAATAATATCATTTAAATTTTTATTTTTTTAAAATATTTTATTGAGATATATTTTTGTTTGAATAGAATAATTAAATTACTTACATTAAAAAAAATTATCACCATATTTGACAATATTAATTAAGAATATAAAATATCAAATATCAAATATAAAATTAACCAAAATTAAATAAAAATTGAATGGAACACACTATCAATGAAAATATGATAATTCTAAATTATCACCCTTTTATTAGAAATTAAAATTCTTTTATTTTAGTCTATTAAAAATCTCCACTAAAATTCCTAAAATTTTAAATTCTTTCAAAAATGAATTACTTGAAATATCTCATCCAAACATACTCTCTGAGATTTCCCTCCTTTAAATCAAAATTTCCCTTCAAAAACCAAACACAAACGTCTGAAGCAGACATTATAAATGATTATAAAATGATTCTAATTTCTGAAATTTCTATAGGATTAAGAAAAATGAGCCTCTAATTTTCTGATAAGAGTTGTCTATACAGGGGATACACCTTAAAAAATGTAAAATAGAATTACAAAAAAGAGAGGGAAACAACAAAATACCTGAGTCCACATAAATAGGCCATTATTAAACCTAACGTTAATAAACAGGAAGCCCAACAAAGATTTCCATCTTCATCAGAAAACCATTGGACACCACTTAATAGACCTCATATTGCTGATATGACCCTTAACAGGGAAATTTTAAGGTACCTCCACTGGACCTTGTTGAATTTTTCTTTATAAATGCAATGGACTCACTTGAAAAAGGTGGAGTTTTGCAACATATTCTTAACTGTTATCACATAGAATTTGAATCACGCTTTGCATTTCAACAGATTCATGACTCCAATAATCTAGCTTGTCACAGTAGACCTTGCTCCTCAAAGTCTCTTGCCACTGAAACATCAGAAAAAAAGGTAAATGTTAAGGCAACAAGATAGCATACAAGACAAACCTAACCTTAAAAGGAAGAAGAAAAAGAAAGGGAATGGAACAAAAGTAATTAAAGTCTTATGTGTAATTTAAGTAACAGAACCAGCATCACAGGATTGTGATAATTCCTTCTTAGAGTTTGCTTTAGCATACAAAATAAAAGCTAGAGATGCAACTTCCTCACTTCTCAGCCATGAAAAGTTAATCTAAAGTGAGAATTGTTCATATCTTGTAGCATTAATTTTGTGACAATTGACGAACCATAGCTGAATTAGTCCACCATAACATTAATTTTTCCTTCAAATTACTTCTTCGTAACAGTTATGCCATTTTACTTCCAAAAATCAATGACACTAAAAATATTTGAAACTGATTTTCCATGAAGTAAAGCAACACATATAGGGATTTACTAATATATACACCCACTTAATTTTTAGGAAGAATATATTAGCAAGTTATAATTATAATTTTCTTGAAATACACCAAAGGTGTACCTTACTAGCATACTTCAACTAAAAATTAAGTGTGTATTAGTACCCACGGTTGCTGTCGTACACTTAACTTTTTAGAAAAAGTACACATTAGAAGTTATAACTTTGATTTTCTTCAAATACATCTAAAGGTGTAATTTGCTAAAATATTGCTTCTAAAAACAAGTAGGTATACATCAGCAAACCCTATATATAAAATCTGAACAACAGCTTGAATGCTTGATACAAAGAACATATATTTGCCAAGAAAAAAGATCACACTGAACTTTTATTTCACTAAAGAGTTATTATGAAATTATCAATATAATCCCTACTTCTTCAACTTGAATAACTTCAACAATTTCACTCAACATCCATTAGAGCAGTTTGATTTCAGACTCAATAAGAGCTTTTGGTTCCTTCTCGTTTTAGGCTTCAAAACATCTTATCGATATAGCACACAAATTTGGTAGGAAAGACAAAAGGAGAGAGAAATGTACAGCCTAGCTAGAATTACAGTTTAATCAAATCTCCAATACCACATTACTATCTTTTCTAAATTTTATATATTCACAATTTAATCTGCACTTTAGACAAAATAGTAGCCAAACAAATACACAGGTTTCAATTAATAATCAAATTTTCACAACTATATTTACCCAATATCGGCAACTGCCATACAAGTCGCATCAAAAGGAAAAATATAAGAGTATCAATTTGCTATTTTTATCTCCAAGATTTTAGCACAAAGAATTTATCAATTCCCCATAAAAGTCATTCTTCAACCTCAGCAAACAGTAAGTAAGTTCATCAAATTATGTAGTACAACAATGCATGTGAAATAGTAGATTCATTAAGCATTCACGAGAATGACATTTGAGAAAACTGACCTTTGGACGAGGGAAGAACCAAAACAACCTGCATGGTAACATTGTTGGGAGGAAGCTGCAAACGAAGAGGATAGAGTTTTCCATTCAAAGGACTTCGAGAACACACAATAACTCCCTCAAGCCCCGTCTCTTCCTCAAACTTCCTAGTCAAGTCCTCAACTCCATTACCTTTGAAAATCAAAGAATAACCCTGCACATTCTCATCATCCACATCTCCATTTTCCTCAGCAACATGATAGTATATAGTCCTCCCCTCCATCTTCGGCGGTGAACCCACATAGGAATCCGTTGACTACAAACCCAACCAACAACAAAAGATAAAACCATGACATGTTTAGTTCAACTTAATTCTAAAGAAATAATCTTTTATTTTTCAAAATATCCTACTGAACACTAAAACAGAACCGATTATTCCTTCAAAATAAACGAAACCAACAAGCTGCACTAGTTAATAGCATCAAATTCGTCCACGCCACTAGTTTCATTTTCTAGAACCAAACTTAAATTCACTTTTAATTTCGCAAATTAACAAGTAATACGCAACAACACAAAAGAACCAAATTTTCTGATCTAGATCTTCAGTTACTCCTCAAAATTATACTCGTACATTTTAATTCTTGAAATTATAAATCTTTGGTTAACTTTAAACTTTATATAAAATTATTTTTTTCACTTTATTTTACAATTATTGCCCACTAAAAAGTTCCTCTGCAAAGTTAAGAATTAATACAAAAAAAAAAAATCAAAAGCTAAAATGTATGACTATGCAATTTTAAATACTAATTAGAAATTTACTTTACAGTAGTAGAAGCTACCCTGATGAAAAGATAGGGACTTAGGGATAAATCCGTACCTCTTGTCTTGAGAAGTTAGCAGATTTGATGGAAACAGCAGAAGGAGTGGAAGATTCGAAATCAAGAGAATCGGAGTGAGGAACAGGAGGAGGAGCAGGGGACTCAACATGGATCTCAAGAACATCAACATCCCAAAGGATCCAATCCTGTGTGGACGTCCTGTGCGGGATATCGTGCGTAACAGAGTTCCTCCAAGGTGGCAACCCCCCATTGGCTCTCAGAAAGTTACCGTAACGTGTCTTCAGCTTCACCTGAGCACCGTCCCTCACAGGCTCCCACTCCACGGAAGAATCAAGCCTACGTGGCAGACTCTGAACGACTTTGCGTCCCGTCACGCCCAACAGTAACGGCTGGTTTGACGCCGTTAGGTACTTGCCGTAACAGCTCTTGAGTCTTATGATGTTGTCGTATTCGGGTATGAGCTCCACCACCCATTTTGCGTTCTTGGAGGATCCGTTTCGGTCTTGGGTCACTGATTCCTCGTCTTCCTCCGCGTGCAGGTACTTGTCGTGGTGGCTCCGGAGACGCACCGCCTTGGCGCGGTGGAACAAGTCCATGCCTGACCTGAAGTTGTTCGAACTTGTTGTCTGCATAGTTAAGTTAACGATCAAGGGTAGCTGACAGAGGTTGTTGATTTTATTGGTTCAGAGTGTTCGGATCGGAGATGAATGTAAGCGGCGACTTGGGTTGGGTTTGGGTATTTGTATGTTAGGAAAAAAAGTGAAAAGGGAAAAGAAAAAGGTAAGAAAATGATACTACTGTTTTTGTTTGTTTTCATGGTGAGTGTTGTGATTTTAAAAGAGGAAATTCTGTTTACTTTACGTTTTTTCTTAAAAATATATTTATTCTCCTTATTTAGTTATTTTGCTGACATTTTAGGTATATTTACGCGTGTTTGTTTTAAATAATTATTTATTTTGTTATTTTTAAAACAAATTATAAAAAATAGGTAATTAGTTTTAAAATTAATCTCTTACACAGATGAATTAAATATAAAGAAGGTATATTTAATTTTTCAAAAAGTATTTTGAAAACACAATAAAGATGTATGAAATAAAGAGGGTAAGGGTATTTATTAAGATAAATCCTCTATCTGTAGCTTGGGGATAACAGTGATTGTGGCAGGTGTAAGACGAGAAGAGCCAGCGAGACAACGCGGTTGGTGCATAGTTGAAGTTCCGTGTGACGGTGGCCAGAGGGAGCCAGATAGAGGGGGCAAAAATCGGTGTTCCAAGAGAATATGTGTTTTATTTTAATACTTTTTATTGTTTCATAAAATAAATATTAAATAAAAAAGATTCATGTCTTTTAAAAAATATATAAAAATATTTGTAAATATAAAAGCAAGATTATGTAAAATTATTTGAAGAATATATTTTTTAATATTTTAATATAAATTTAAGAACACATAATGAAAATTTAAATATAATATATTTTCATTAAAAATAAAATTAAATATATTAATAGCATTAAATTTTATAATATTTTATGATTGAAAAATATATTAATTATTAAAGGCATAGTATTATAGAAGAGAAGTAAAATTTAATTTTTTTTATAGGGTTAAATGATAAAAGAAAATGTATAAGTTTAATTTTAATTTTTTTAAATTTATATAATAAATTTTTGGATATTTCTTAATAATACTATAAAAATTAAATAAAGTTTCAAATACACATATATATATATATATATATATTTCAATTTTATTGATTTATTAAAAAAGTACCAAAAATTTTAAAAATTAAAGATACTGAAGAAAACACCTTTTCTTCCCCCTCTCTTCGGTGGTTTTGTACGAGGCCATTTGTGTGTTTATTTAATGCTCTTAAAGGTAGAGCAATATCCTAATCTACTTAAAAAATGAGACATACATAATCTTCAAGTTACGGTAGGTATTATTCTTTGTTAGAAAATATATGTAGTCATCAATGGTATTCAACGAGGGATAAAGCTAATTTCAATTTTCAGTTTATAATATAAATTGTATTCGTTTAATTTGTGAGTATCACTAAACTATTATTAATGTGACATTTTGTCTTCCAAGTGAGAAGCGTTGAATGACCATGATTCAGTCCAAATGGGCTTGGACCTCGTCTATCTAGATCAAATTTCTTGGATACCTTAATATATGACTACCTTAAATTATTTATTTGTATCTATAAATTGGGTTGGTATTTTTCGATACACTTATATTTGGAAAACAGAAGTGATGATTCTATCAAATTTTTAGTGAAATGTCTATTTCTATCATTCTAGGATTTTGAATTATATCAAATTAATTTTTTAATTTTCAGTTTTTAACTTCTAATTAACTTTTCAATTTTGAATTAAATTATTCGCTAATTACTGAACAGGCCAATATATATGAAACAAATAAAATATAAATTTTGTTAACCTCAGTCTTTATGATTAAGGTTAAACATTTTTACATAATTTTTTTACAAAATAAATATATTTATTATATTAAATTATAAAAATATAATGAATATTTTTAATAAAATTTTACTATTGTTTATTTATTTTAGTTTAAAAAAACTCATAAAATATAATAAAAATCATATAACTACCGTAAAAAGTATAATGTTAGTATATTTTAATTAATGGAAGCATGTTTCCTTAACTACAAATCATGTATTTCTATTTATTTCCCTCACTTCCATTATTTTGATTACGTCCATGAGTTTGTTTTATGTTTGAAATATTATTTTCTTTTGTTTTTCTTATTGAGTATTCTTTAGAAAATAATTAGTAAAATAAATATTTATTATGTATTTATTATTTTTCTTATTTTCCTTTTATAAATAGAGTTGATAAGAACTTCTAAATAAAATCAATAAAATATATATTTATTATTTTGTATAATTTAATTAAAAATATTTTATAAAAAAACTAAAAAATCTATGATTATTAATTTTAAAGGATGTGTAGTATGTGACAACTGTATAGTAAGTGCAGATATTGGATTGAGTAGTGTAGTTCCATCTTAGATCCTTTACAGCTAATAATTGTATCATATTTTTATTAGAGTTTTGTTAAGAGGGTCCACTACTTAAAAAAATGAAAATGAATTACTTTTGTTAAAACAATATGCTGAGATAAAAAAAAATTAAAAATTATACATCAATAACATTTTTTTGATAATTTTTATTCAAAATTTTCCAATTAATATATTTAGAATGTGGTAAACATTTAAATTTTTTTATTAAGCCCATTATAATAATCAATCTGCTATACATAGGCTTGATATTTGAGTATGTTTGGCAAGAGATTTGGATTAGTTCTAAATTTATTTGACTAACCAAAATGTTTGTTTGATTAAATTGTATTTATTTAATAAATATTCTTATTTTATATAGTATTTAGACTTATATATTTTTACTGTTTTATCTTTATTGTCATATTATAAGTTCTTCTTTTGTATTTTTATGTCATTTCACACATAACAATTAATTTTACAAAATATTTTTAATTCAACAATCAATTAACTTATCAACTTCTAATTAAATTTTATTTTACTTATTTATTAATTTTACCAAATATATTCTTTATGTCACCATTGGCATTATTGGTATAGTGACTCAGTTGAGTTTTGCTTTATTAAAAGATGTTACCATTCATAAAGAATGTTATAAATGTTTTTAGCATACTTTTTTTATCTCACTTTAATGTATAAATAAAATAGTCTAATTTTAAGAATGGATATTCCGATACTAAATGCATCGACAGTTACTGCCGTATAAGAACATATGACTCGATGTACAATTTTAAATAATCAACCTATAAAAATTATCTTTAGTTAAAGACTACTGCTGACAGAAAGGATTCATAGGATCCTAAAAAAGATTTTATAAAAGAAAAAAATAATATAAAAAAATAAATAAAACTTTTATTATAAGTTAAAAATGATTTATCTTTTAAAAAATTAAATAAAATATTTTTCAAAAATTATAGAAGTATAATTTATTTTTAATTTATAAAAAATATGATTTTTATCCGTTTTTTTTATAAAGACTTTTCTAAATTGTCATGATAAATTGATTTCTTTTAAAGGCTCAGAGAATTCTGCAGCGTTAAGCAACGTGTTTTTCCTTGTTAGAAAAACGACTTTTCTTGGTAAAAAAGAAATGCAAAAGAAGAGGAATTCTATTTATACATTAGCTTATAAAAACAAGAGAAAAAAAGTATAAGATAACGAGTAGTAAAATGAAAAAAAAAAGAAGAAGAATTGCTTTATAAATAACAGGTATTATTTTATTTTATTCCAAATTCATTTAAATAGTTATTTTTATAGGTCCTACGTACCTAATATCCGTCTATTAATTAAAGTTTAATACAAATCCTTTGCCTCTAAATCAGATAAAACACAAATTTTCAGTCAATTGAATTATTAATTGATAAACTACCCAGAACATGCAAAACAGAGTGGACCAGTAAAACCAACAAAGGGGAACAGAAGTATGAAAGCAACACACGCACCTGAAACGAAGAAACGGAGGAGGGCGAAGCAAGTTGTTCGGAAGCCGAAATCTCATGATCGGAAGCAAAAGAAGAAGCAACACTGTTCTTCTCGAAAGGAAAATCCACAGGCTCAACACTCCACAAGATCCAATTATGAGTGACAGAAGGGTCATCGTGAGTGACGGAGTTCCTCCACGGTAACGTCCCACCATTGCCTCTCAAATACTTGCCACACCAGCTTCTCAATTTCACGTACAAACCCTCCTTTATTGGTTCCCACTCGTATTTCCAATCCAAACCCGCGTCGAAATTGGCTTGAACCACTTTGTTTCCGGTAAAGCCAAGGAGAAACGGCGCCTCCGTTGCCGTTAAGTAACGCCCGTTGTAACTCCTTAACCTCACGTGTTGGGTCTTCCCTTGTACTAGTTCCACCTCCCATATTGCTTTTCTTGTTGAGCCTTTTCTGCTTTGACGGAGTTTGTCGTGGTCTTCGTCATCCACTACTAGGTACTTGTCGAGGTGGCTGCGTAGCTTCACGGCTTTGGCTTTGTTGAAATACTCCATTGCTTTGGGTTGTTATTTTGGGTATATGGGATATGTAAGTTTTGATGATGTCCTCAAAAGGTATTATTTAATCGTATTTAATGTGAGGGAATTGGCGTTGTGGAGCTTTAAATATATATAAAGTTGAACCAGCCTGGACCAAAAAATAAATGGTTTTTTCTGTGTTGAATGATTCTATTTTTTTTATTATTAAATAGAGAAATTAGGAAATACTTGTTATATTTTTAAGATAATAAATTTACATTTTTATTTAATATTTATTTTCTTAAGTACTAAAAAGGTCATAAAAAAATTTATAAAAAAATATAGAAAACTTTTGTGTATTTCGAATTAATGATAAAGGAAGTAACAGGGAAATTGAAAAGGTAATGACCATGTTTTGTTTTGTTTTTTGTTGTGTAGTTAATAACGGTGATTATGCATGACTTTGTTGACGTCGTCGACACGGGCGTAAGAAGACGCTCAGTTGCTCACGTTTGAAGGAGTAACTTCGACTTGTATTAATATGTGAAAAATTAATGGAAGTTTGAAAAATAAAAATGAACGAAATGGAAGATTTTTAAAAGTAATTTTTTTATTAGAGAGAGATAAGAGAAGTTCGAGATGCAATTTTGCTGGCAGAAATTATTGAATTACACGATATAGGTCACTTACATTTAAATACATGTCAAGAAAAATTTAAAAGAATTTACGTGTCATATTAGGATACAGATCTCTTGCAGGTTTGGTGTTAACTCAAGGGCTTGCAGTATATTTTCACTTAAGTGAATTCAGATTTTGCTTAAGTAAAAATACACTATAAGCATCTTCTTCTTATATATTTTTGCTTAAACGAATTTGAATTACTTTTGTAATAGTTTAAAATTTGACATCAGACATGATGTACTTGTTCAAAGTCTCAATTCACTGATGAAGGATGTTTCATTAGCCAAACTCTATGAAGAAAAATACTCTAGTTCTCCTAAACCATATTATAGCACAAGTTACTCAAAAAAACCAAACACAAGCCAAAAAACCAACACACTTCCTGCCATTCTGCCCATGATTAATTCAAAACCATTTAACCAACCATTCCAACCATCCAATGTCAAGAAAATGACTACAACATAAATTCAACTTCTCAGAGAGAAAGGTCTTTACTAGACTTCTGATGACAAATTCAGTCTCACTTACAGGTGTCCCAATAGGTAGTATTTGCCACTTTCTGTGGAAGACTTGGATGATCCACCCCAATACTTAGACTCTCCTGACCCACCCTTACCTAATTACAATGATCTTACATCAGAACATCATCTTTCTTTCAATGCCTTGAAAGGATCAAGAGGCTTGGGCACTATGAGATTCCAAGGTTCCATCAATAGTGTTAGTGTCCAAATTCTGCTAAATAGTGGTAGTTTTGACAAATTTTTACAACATTGAATTGCTAATTACGTCAATCTGCCCGTTGAACCTATTGCCAGCATCCAAGTATTGATTGGGAATGGTAATGCGTACGCCCTGAATTTTGTAATAATATTTTGTTTATTAATATAAATTGTAGATTTCTATTTGAATATGCAATTTAATTTATGTGGTTATGTGAATATGTGTGTGTGAATGTGGATAAATATGTAAGTATAAATGTATATGTGGACTTGTAATTGAGCTGAAATTGACTGGAAACATAGGTTGGTGTGTACTACAAAGAAGTTCTTGCTGGAACGAGAGGATTCTCGCTGTAGTGAGAGGTCCTGAGCAAGTGGCGTGCTTCTATTGCGTTCTTGCTGTAGCGAGAAGCTCCTCGTTGCAGCGAGAGGGCAATAGAGGGGGTGCATTTCTGGAGAGCAGTCTCGTTGTAGCGAGATTATGCAAAAACTATAGTGCAATTTTCTCTGATATTTTCACTGTAGCGAAAAAAGGTCTTGTTGAAGCGAGAGTTCCTCGCTGTAGCCAGAGATGTCTCGCTGTAATAAGAGTATCTTGAATTCTAGAGTATTTAAGAGGTTTAGGATTTAGAAAATTCATTTCTCACTTCTCTCTTCGAACCCTCTCTCGATTCTCTCTACTCTTAATCCATTTTTACCTATTAAATTGCCTCTAAAGTCGTTTGTGCGCTAGATTGAAGGTTAGAATCACGTTTGACACATTTGGAAGTAAGTTTTGAGAGCTAGGGTTTCAATTTTTGGTTCCTTTCTTTGTTTTCTCGGTTTCTCATGGATTTTTCCATGTGTTTAGGACAAAAATTTGTGTGAAAAGTGTTTCCATGTTAATTTCGTATTGGGTCTTCAATCCAAGGTAAGGGAGAACTCTACCCTATCTCATTGTACATAAAATCTGTTTATTTTGCTATGTGTTGCAATGTACTTGAGATAGAACGTAGAAAAATGTGTGGAATGATAGAAATTCGTGGTAATCATAATCTGATGGATGTTGGATGTTGTGTGTGATAGAGTGACTTGATTGCGAAGGATTGTGATAGAAATTGGGGGTTTGAATGTAATGTGATTGAACAAGTGTGTGCATGCCATGAACACTGAATGATTGAGAATATGGGTGGAAGTGTGCGAAAATGGCATGTTAATTGTGATTGTGATTGTGTTTGAAACGATTGAAAATTATGAATGGTTATAGCAATACACTGAGAGTATGGAAAATAGAGGCGGTAGAAATACTTTGGGAAAAAGAGAGTGAAGGTAACACCAACAGCAAGCATGGATATATAAAACGCATGCAATTGCTGAATGTTATGCCTTACAGTTCAAAACCTAAGAAGTACCTCAAGACCAATGGCTGGATCTTCCCTTTGACATACATTCAGACTTGGCTATTTTGCTTTATACTAACAGGAAGGTGTTTGATAAGCCTTATGGTTTACATCCTAATAGAGCACATAATCATTATATTCCTTTAGTTCCTAGAAGCAATCCTATTAAGGTGAGACCATACTGATATACTCATAGTCAAAAGGAGCAAATTGAAAACATGGTTGAGAAATGATCTAATTTACTCTTAAGCCATGGTATGAGAAATTATCTAATTTACTCTTAAGTTGTGTATACCATCATTCTCATGCTAATCACAGCCTTTTCATTGAAAATTATCATTTTGAATTTACTACTTTTATTATTTATGTGGATGATATTGTTCTGACAAGTAATTCTAGTCGAGAAATCAGTAACATCAAAAGCATTCTCTACTCTAATTTTTATATCAAGGACTTAGGGACATTGAAATATTTTCTAGGAATTGATGTAGCACACTCTGAACAAGAAATTTCTTTGTGTCAACGAAAGTATTGCCTTAACCTTCTCAAGGATTTCGGGATGCTTGGGTGCAAACCTTCCTCTACGGCTATGAATAGCTCTCTTTACCTCCATGCTAACTCCTCTAGTCCCTTCCTGATCTTCTCCCATATCGAAGGTTGGTTGGACGCTTAATCTACCTCACTAGCACTTAGCCTGATATAGCATTCGCCACACAACAGTTAAGTCAATTCATATCCAAACCTACTACGGCGCATCACAATGCTGCTCTCAAAGTCCTTTGTTACCTTAAAAGTTGTCCCAGAAAAAGGCTTGGTATTTTCCAAAACTTGTAGCACTTAAATTTGCAATTTTAGTGATGCAGATTAGGCAACTTGTATGGACTCCCGCCACTCCATCATTAGATACTGCTTCTTCATTAGAAATTCTCTTGTCTCAGAATGAATAAGAAAAATACAGTTTTCATTCTTCTTCCAAAGCCAAATATCGAGCTTTGGCATCCGTCACATGTGAATTACAGTCGCTCATCTTTTTTCTCAAGAATTTACGTATTGCTAGTTCAACACAATCCATCCTATATTGTGATAATCAAAGCACTTTACACATTGCAGCTATTCGTGGACGAGTGTATATGTCAAAAAGTAATAAAAGGGTTTTTAAAAAGAGTTTCAAAATTATTGTCTCACAAAGATTATTCTCAAGTATCAAGAATACCTTGATTTGATTGTTTAAACGCAAAGGGAGTGTGATGAATTAAAAACAAGACTTAATATTAACAATTAATTGAAGAGAATAATAATGCAATGTAGGAGAGAAATCGAATGAGATGAGCCTAGGACTTATGGTTTCACCTATTACACTTTTTTATGTTCTAATTATTTTAACTCCGGTATTGGTATCTAAATATTTGCCAACCACTCATACTAGTTCTATTAACACTCAATGATCATGCAATGTTAATATTCTTTTCCTTGAGCAATCATCCACAATGATCATACAAGGTAAATGGTTAAGAAAGCATAAAGACCCTATGAGTTTGTTAATTCAATAACAGTTGGAAGAGAGAAATTAAGTGTGATTAACCTAACCCTTTATCTCATCTTATCCTATAGTTTCATTAATTACATGTGATACGATCGCCTACGATGCAACTAATTATGATATGCTAAGAGTGATCAATTCTTAACATGCACAATATGATTTAATAGGATAAAAGTCAAACATTAAAGAAAGACCAATACTGATAGTAAAAGTAAAAACCACACAAAGTATGCAATAGGATCCCCCATAGTCTTAGCTATGAATTTAGTTACTCATAATAAAATATATAACGAAAAACATAATGAACCAATCCATAAAACATAAAGGAGAATGCAAACAAGAGAACCTAAAAGGAAAAAAGATGAAAAGAATTATCGCTCTCCAAGAAGGTGCTCAATCACTCGCTCTGACTCCGAAGGAGTTCATCGTCTTTGCCAATGATCTCTAATAACTCTCAACAGTGAAGTGAGTCAAAACTAAGAAAGGAGAAGAAGGCGTATAGAGAATGGTATCGAAAAGTGTCAAGTGTAGAGCATAAGGCCTCTTTATATAGGATGTGCCTAGAGTTCCTAATCAGTTGAACTCTATCTTTTCAAATCAGTTTTATACACAATCAAAATCTCAACTGAAAAATCGCTCCAAATCTTCATATCTAAATCTTTATCTAAGTTTAAATTTTAAATTCAAAATTCAAACTCAAATTTACATAGCGACCAAGGGCTAAAATTATCTAATTTTTATCCATAATATCTCCATAATGCATTGATAACAACTTCCAGCTAAACTACAACAATTAATAGCATAATTAGTATAAATATATATATATATATAATAAGATTCCAGTGTATGAATATAAATCATAAAATATATCAAAATATAAACTTATCAACGGCTAATCCTGATTTTCATAAGCGGACTAAGCAGTTGGACATTGATTGTCATCTTGTTAGAAAAAAATCCCAAGCTGGTCTCATGTGGCTACTCCAAGTTTCCTTTTCTAATCAATTGCGGACATATTCACAAAAGTTCTCCCGCCTCGCTTCTTTAGTGTCAATTTATCCAAGTTGAAGTTAGTCGACATCTTCCTACTTCCAGCTTGTTGGGGGCTAATAGAAGAAGAAGAGCATAATCCAAGCTTAAACACAACATAATACAACAATTGCTGCTAATCTTATTGTTTTTGCTTTTCTTATTGTACCGCACACACATTATAGAAAACCATGAGTTGTCAATTATTCAATTGTATAGGAATACGCTCTCATTATTCCTTCTTATCCTTTTAGGTCATTTATTCTATTATATATATATATATATATAAAAGTTCTATTGCTTTGCAGTAATACACTAAAAGATATATATCAATCTTTTCTCTTTATTTTCCTTTTATTTCCTTTGTCTGTTAGTATGTTTACATGTATGGAAGTGTAAGAGTCACACCTGCAAACTATGTCAATATGTAATAATTCTTTTATTGTAGAAGTATGACATATTAACTTAAAAATTTTAAAGTTAAACTTTTTTCTTATATTCAAGCATAGTAAAATAGTTTAATGAGACGATAAAGTAATAACAATATCAGTTCTCTATAATATAATATTTGACTAAGTACTATAAAGATTATGAAAGCATGACTTTACCAAGTAATGTCTCTTTATTCATATTTTTATTATAGATTTTGAGTTTTAGTTTATTTAAGAAGAACAGTTTGCAACTATATTATATTAATATAGTTAAATATAATAAGCAAATGAATAAAGATTTCAATTTTAAAGAATCAAGCAAAAAAATTGACACGAAACAGTAAAAAGAAAATTTTGTAAGAGAAAAAGTTAAGTAAAACATACAATATATTAATATATTTTGTTGGTTCAATATTTTAAAGTGTTTTGATATTTAATTTGTTATTTTATTTTTAGAGATAAAAATGTAAATCTTTCTATTAACTAAAATTTGACACCATAATTATCTCCTAACCAAAACTTGGGTTGATAAAAAAAAATTACACTATTATGATATTTAAATTTTAATACACACATATATATATATTTCAAATTGTTTTGATTACAAGAAAAGAAAACTCTTACCATCTTATTAAATGATATTCAAATTATATATATCATAATTATTATTTCTTGATACATTTACTCAAACGAATTGTATTTTTAATTATTACAAATATTAAAAGCTCAACGTCTCAAGATTGTTCTCCAATAAGTGATTCTAGGACCCAAGTGAAAATCTAATTTCTGTTTAGTGCTTTCCCTCTTAATAACCTCATCCCAAAAATCAGTAAATGGGAGTGATTGAATTCTTTTATTTATTTTCAATTCCCTTTTATTTAAACAATATTTTTTACAAGTGAATTATTAAGTGGGTAAATATGCAGTTATTTAAAACACTGCTATATTATTCAATGGAAAATGAAAAAGACAATCATCACAAGGGCGGCCAAATACCCTGAAAAAAATCAAGAGATGATGAATTTTCTGCAGATTAATAGGCAGTGGATCTAGTAATGTATGAACAGTCTCAGCACAACATAATTGAAGACAGCCCTCCAGTCAGACATTATATCACATAACTTCTGCACCAAAATTATAATCTCTCCAAGATAAACAAACTGCCTGCTAATTTACAGTAGTTGCATACAGAAACAAGACATAACCAACATTCTTGATTTACAATCAAAAACTAATTTAAGGAATTGTACCCTAAACAATCATTTAGGGAAGAGTGGAATTACAACTAAAAATGAAATCCATATTCCTCACCCATTCATTAAAGAACACACATACCCAGAAAGTAGAAGGGCCTACACTACAGATTACAAAATTAATCATTCTATTGGTGATGAGTAACTGGATATGAATTAATAAAGAGAAAAATAACGTAGTACCATCCTACTTTGGGGGAATTGAAAGATTGCTCTCAAGCATAAAGGAGAGATCATGCATCTGTGACATCAAAACCTCTACATCATCTTTTGACCCTACTTCGGCAGTGGAAACATCTCCGGAGTTCACTCTCATGATATCCACTTCAGCCACCCTGAACAGTCAACAGATGGCGTAAATTTGTATTTTGAAAGCACAAAAGGTCAATCAATGATCAATTCTAGTCTGCAGAATGTTCGAGAGCCATGTCATTTATAAAATGCAAAGCCTATTCAGTGGTTTAAAGAATGAAGAACTGCCAAGTTTTCCAGTGCTTTCAAGGTAGTCGTATAAATAGTAGTAACTGGGAAGGAGAAAGATGTTCAAACATTGAAGTTTTAATAATAGATAAATATAAAGAAGACCCACTAGTTTGTTCTTCCTCCCGTTCATTAGTAAGAGGAAATCCTATTCAAGTCTTAACATGCAAAGCAAAGAATCATTCAATCAGAATCTCATTCAACTTGTCCATCCAACAGAACCCATATTTACAACAGAAACCCTCAGCACACCTACCTAGACGCATCAGTTTCCTTACTAGGCTTGAACTGTATAGACATGAAAAATTATCAGCAAATGCAAGCTGAACGATTGAACACAAACACCTAACGTGGGGAATACACTCAAGTCCATCTGTTTCTCAAAAAGTGGTTGAATTCAAGTATGCATAATTTTATAAAACAAAACAATGCAACCAACATAATATCAAGGCACCTGTTTAAAGAAGTAGCTGCAGGCTGTTCATTGGTTGCTGCAAGAGAACCCAGTGAACTGCTAAACTGTCCCAAAAATAAATCATGTGGTGGAAACCCACCAAAATTTATATTATGTGAGTTGTCTGATGTGCTAGGTAAATTTGTTTCAGAGGTCTTCACAGCAGAAGTCTGATTTACTGTTTGTTTCCAAACATTGTTGGAAGGATCTTGTGTAGTGGCCAAGCTAGTCAAGCCATTCCAATCATTAAATGAATCAGCAATATCATTAGCAGTCATGGTATCAGTTGTTTTGTTATTGCTAACTTGCCATTGGTCATCTTGAAACCAGTCAAAACTTCTGCGAGAAGAAGCACTAGTACCTTCTGCAGCTTTCAAATCATTAAGATCAGCAGTAATTTCAGATTTCCCAGTCTCGGCAGTAATAGCAGAGTTGGAAACACCACTGGAAGCATTTTGTGAAATGGCTGAACCAGTAAAATCATTCCATGCATCAAATGAATCAGCTTCCTCATTAGTTGTCACAAAACCAGTTGCCATGCTATTACTCCCCTGCCATTGGTCGTCTTGCATCCAGTCAAAACTTCTAGATGAACCAGTAGCACTTTCAAGAGTTTTTGTATCATTAGAATCCTTGGTCAATTCAAACTTACCAGTCTGCCCAGTAATCTCAGAGTTGGACACACCACTGGATGAATATTGCATATGGGATGAGCCAGTGAAATCATTCCATGCATCAAATGAATCAGCAGCTTCATGAGTACTGATGTTATCAGTTGTCTTGTTATTGTTGCTTTGCCATTGATCATCTTGCATCCAACCAAAATCCTTATTAGAAGTGTTATTAGCACCCCCTTCTGTTTTCGTATCATTAAAATCCAAAGAAAATCCAAAATTTTCTGTCTGGCCAGTTGTTTTTGAACTGGAAATAGTACTAGAAGGATCTTGTGTGCTAGCTGAGCCAGCAAAATCATTCCAACCATTAAACGAATCGTTAGCTTCATCAGTAGCCACAGCATTTGTTGTCTCGTTATCACTCCCTGGCCATTGGTCATCTTGCATCCAGTCAAGATTTCTAGTAGAAACATTAGCACTTTCTGCTGCTTTTGTATCATTAAGATCCATGGTTGATTCTGATTTCCCAGTCTGGCTATTTATCTCCGAGTTGGAAGTTCTCCATCCATCATCCTGAAACCAATCACGCTGTGTGGATGCCAAAGGATTGTCATCATTCTTCTTTACAACAGAATCTTTCCAGGATCCAGATACCGTATCTGATTCAACTTTAAAATGATCAACTGATTTGGACTCTTCATGAACAGGACCAGAACCAGCAGACTTAAAGTTGGCATCCCAACCAGAAAAGGAATCATCATTCTGATCTTCAGCAGACCCTGTAGCCACTTCTGAAGCTTGGACATTCTGAAACAAACTAAGATTTTCATTAGCTTGAAAAGTATTATCTGAAGCAGCACTCACTTGTTGTCCCAAAGCCAAGTTCTGTTCTAACACCCCAGAATTAGATTCCCTTCGATCAAAAAAACTATCAAGATCAACTCCAGCCAAATTCAAAGAACTTTTGCCATGAAACTCTGATGTACTCGACATAGCTCTCTCAGCTTCAGAAGGCCATCTAATTTCCAAATCAAGCAGTTCAGATAGGAGAATCCCATCCTTTGATTCACTCTTCCCCCAGTTTGATGCATTTTCATCCACCACTGGTGTCACCATCTCCTGCAAAACAATGTTCGCAGTGTTAACACAGCAATATATCAAATCCCAAAATTTAATAAGGAAAAAAATAACTAATAAAATAAAGTATCAAAATTAGAGAGATAAAAAAAAAAGGCTTTACACTACCACATTGTTTGCATTATAAACAAAGGAAAAAACGGATAACATTACATCAAAATAACGTCTGCAATGTCGGAAGCACTTTCAAACAATTGAAACATCAGAATTTGATCATCCAAAAATAGAAAAAAAAAATAGAAAAGAAAAAACAAATTTTACACTACCACATTTTTGCATTATAAACAAAGGGAAAACTGGTAACATTAAATCAAAATAACATCTGCAACTGCAATGTTTCAAATAATTGAATCAGCAGAATTTAATTATCTAAAAAATAATAAAAGAAAGAAAGAAAGAAACGATGAAATTGATATTACCGATCCATCAAGTTGAAGGGATTCGAGTAACCATCGATAGCCAATGGTGTTTTTGAATTTGATAGGTTCTGGAGGGAGGTCCTTGTGGGGATTCGTACCGCAAAAGACACAGATGGAAGATTGTAACCCGCGTAGGAGTTTACCATTGCAATTCTTGCAGCGAAGGTAAGGTGGCGAAGGATCGAGCTTCGCTATGGTTTCTGCGACGGAAGGGAGCTTCGGGAGCGTGAGATTTTCCTCATCCTCAGGCTGGTACCATGAGAGATTGGCCTCTTTGCGGAGGAGGATCTGTAATTGCTTTATCTGGTCCAATGGCATCTCGAACGCCATTGTTAGGGTTCCGATTTGCAGCGAACTTCGTTTCTTCGATTCAGTTAAGTGATGAATCGAGGGAAGAAAGATTGTTGATGCTTCAGTTTCTTTGGCAAAACAAAAAACTAAAGCCAGATTCTGAGTGGCATGAATAAAACGATGCCGTTTCCCAACGTCGAACGAATGAATATTTAATTTTAAATTAAATTAATTTTAAACTGTAATGTGTGTTTGTAAACTCATCTCAATTATAAATTTAGTAGAAAATCTTTTGAGGGAACATGTAATAAGGATACATTAAATGAATATTTAATCAAATTTTATATTTAAATCCCTTACATATATAATGTACAATCTATTTATATTATATAAAAAATCGGGTTACTATAAATTATGGCTATTTGATTGTTTATAATCGTTTCAACTTTGAACTAAAAGCATTTCTTATTTTTAATAAATTTTTCATGTTTTAAAAAAATTTCATTTCTCAAAGGTTTGCAATTTTTTTAAAATTAGTTTTCAATTTTTTATTTTATTTTCGAATGATTTATCTGTTAATAAGTTATGTTTTTTCTTTTTTTACTTATGTGATATCTAATTTTACTCATGTTATATAACTTAAAGAGAGTATAAATAATGATGTCCTTTAAAAATTTTAAGTTTCAATTGCAAATACTTTAATGTTATAAACTAAAATTTTATTTGAGAATATGAATAATATAATGTTAATGTCCCAAATAAATTGAATGTAATATCAGTAAATGAAATAATAAGTTAAAAAAAGTATATTAACATAGAGATTTGATGAAAAAAAAACTTTTTGGGAGACTAAAGTAAAAAAAAAAGTAATATTTTTGGAAGATAAAATTTTTATGTAAGTTAATTTATAATAACTAACGATTCTAATATTTTAATAAATAATGAATCAAATATTATACTGAATCAAGCATTAAAAATATTATTAAATAAAATTAAATATGAATTTTAAAATAAAGATATATTTTTAATAATGAGTGTTCATTGTTTATCTAATAACAAATGTTAATTTAATCTAATGCATTCATTGGCTTTTATTTTTATAACTAAATAAATTGATTGAATTTATATAAGAGTGAGTTGAATAATTAATAGATAAAATAAATTGAATTATTACTCTTTTAAATAGGAATGTATAAAATATCATACTCATGATATCAACGAGTATAACTGCAAGTCTGCCATAGATGCTCGTGTCTTCATAAAACGGATTGAAACAAATCACTCTGAAGCGGTATCCGCATACGCATAATATATATATATTTTACTAAATACATTTAAAATATTATAATTTTTTTCATTTTGTGATGAGATAAATTTTATTATATATTACGTTATTATAATATTTTAAAATCATTAACTTGTAATGGTATCATATAATGTTAATTTATATTATATAATATTAATAGAATAGAATGGAATAGAATATTTTATTATTTTAAAAAATTGCTTAAATATATATAAAGTAGTTAGTAGCACATATATTTTATTTTGAAATAAATATATACATAATATATAATAAAATTATTTAAAACTTTAATTTTTGTAAAAATTATTATTTTTTCAATATTACATGACACTAAGATATCCAAAATTACATACGTCATCGTAAAAATAATAGAAACTAAAAATAATATGTATCAAAATGATATAGATTTAATAAAATTATAATAATTTTAAATATAATATATATAAAATATTATAAATTTTATATAAATAAAATAATAAGAGAAAATTAAAATATATTCTTTATTTTTAAAATTTAAAATAAATTAATAAAAAATATGACAAAAAACAAAATCAATATATTAAAAATTGCACCTGCTACCTCAATACTCTCCTTTTATATTACAAAAGTTGATGTTATAGATATTTTTTATGAAAAAAAATATTCACTAATTCTAACACACATGGATATAGTCATTCCATTGACATCCGTACTCCTAAATATAAACAATACGAAAATTAAAAACATCATATAAATAATTGGCTTTCATTATAGGAACAGAAATTAGATAGTAATTAAGATGATTAATGAATAATTTAGATAAACCATTTTGCAGTTGGGATAACTTGATTTGGAAATTACATGCTACCTAGAAAATTAAGTTTCTTATTTACCTAATCTTTCATTATGATCTCTCCCACCAAGATTTTGATGCCTCATAGAAACCAAATACGTAATGTATTTAGTAAATATTAATAAATAATGTCAAACATATCATTATACGATGATGTATATTAAGTTTAATGAGTAATATCTGAAACTGAATTATTGAACCTCTTAGAATATCAACATTTATTAATAGTTTTAAGCAAATAATTTGCATTCAATACTCCCAGTGTTAATGAAATATTGCTGACTTTGTTCTATAAAATTTAAAAGACAAAACTTAGGTGTACTTTTCACGCTGTTTTTCATGTAAAATTGGAATAATTCACTTAATTGTATAAAGTTAACAGCAAGAATCAGATTTAGAGACATAGAATGATGAGGGGTTAATTTTAGGTTAAAAATTGTATAGGAACTAAAATAAATTTTCTATGCATATTAAATACATGTTTAACTCAAATTTATTTTATTGGATTATACATGTTATATTTAAAGCCAAAATTAATTTCTATTATATATTGTCTGATTTATTTGTAGATATAGGACACTTTTGAATGAATAGAGTCATTTTTATTTAATTTTTTAATTGATTGTTTTATTTGTAGATATAGGGATTTTTTTTTCAATTAATGAAATCATTAATTGATATTTTAACATAAAATTTCAATATTTTTATGTTGAAATTGTAGATTTAACTTTTGTTTATTGATATAATTGATAGCCAAATACTTTTTCCATACTTTTTAGTTGATTGGAGTAAAAGTTGAAAAATGTTGAGTTAATTAGGCAAAAGTTACCTTACCATTTTAATTAATTTGAACCAAATTATGTAAATTTAATTAAAAGTTAAATGTAATTTTAATTGAATGAAATAAAATTTGTCTGACTAAGTAAATTACGTAAAAGATGTTTTATAACTGATTGATTAATTAAAATTTTCCAAACATTAAAGTTATTACTTTGACAAATTTTATACTTAATTGTTTATTTCTTTTACTCACAACCCCTGATCCTAGGCATGCTATCATCGACTCCTGTTAACACCAGACAAATTATATTCGTAAACAATTGATTTTATTAATTTTGTCAAATTATATAGGGTTTGATATTAGTACATCATTAATATAAATTTTTTAGACTCTTAATCAATTAAAATATACTGTAAGTATAATTTTTATATTAATAATTACAAAAATAATATTTGTTGATATAGTAGCCTATAATTAGGAGATAGTGTAAGTGTATTTAATTAAATTCAATTATATACGTAACTATATGTTTTTGTTAATTGACCAAGACATCTAAGAGTTGTGCTTTTTTTTTTTTTTTCATTAACTATTTTTCTCAACTAATTATTAAAATAAACTTCAATTTCTAACAGAACATTTTATATACACACAATTAACAATCATAACATGGTTAACATATTTAAGGTTTAAAAATTTTCATTGACGATTTTTTTAAAAAGTATTAAAAAATTATAAAAAATCAAAAACTGCAGCCCGCAATTTTTAATAAAAATCTTATATTTTTGTAATTTTTTTCAAAACACTGTATTTTGAGAATTTTTTCTTTTTTTTTTTCCATATAAAAAAAATCCATTCTGAAAACACTGTAGGGACACTATTCTTGACAAACAGGCATAAAGCTATATTTATATTATATTATATTTCATACTTACATAAATATTATAGTTATGATCACACGTGACCATCAACATTCCTTTAGTTGAAATATGAACACTCCAAAGCCCTTGCTTTCTCGTTTGCAATCCTAGCTTCGGGCCTGTTTGCTAGTTTGTATCCCCTCTCCTGAAGCAAATTTGAACCAACAATTATATTTAATCAACTTTGATACAGAAAATCATGCCTTATTCTCTAAAATCCATGACCAAAGGAGATGTACCAGCAAACGCCACAAGAATGGCAACCCTTCCTTCTTCTTGATTCGCTTCTCAATCACTTCAATTTCTGAATTCAGATTATCATACTTAGTCGTGAATGATAGATTAGAATATTAGAGAAGATTTTGGATTTTACCCTTCCTTGCTTCCCCTGTATTCAGCAACATAGTGTACCAAACTTCATTGAATACATCAAGTTGCTCATCAGATGCCCCTATCATCTTCAAATGATAGTTTAATTGATATAGTAAATTCCAAAATAAGCCAAGTGGAGCCACAAAATACACAAAAAACAAAAGGATGATCAGGAGAACCTTAAAATCATTAGCATCAAAATCTGGACCAAGTAATTCCAATCCATGCCTGTCGTCACCTTTCCCGTAGGCATAAAGTGCTTCTGCAAGCTAAGTTAGAGAATTGGATGGATTAAGTTAGAGAACACCTTATTAACCAAGGTTCTTAAAAGCAATATAGCATCAGCAACTATTGTTTGCGGACAATACTCTGTTTTGAACCATCCTTGTTGTATATATGGATGACTAACTATTGTATTGGGCTGGTTGGTGGTCTGTAGGCAACGTACTGTGTTGTAGGAAACTCCTTTTACAACAATGAATCAAAAATACAAAAAATGTTTTCAACTCCAAGGATTTCAAAATGCTGTAACGTTGCTTATTTATCCAGAATATAAATAAGGGAATAAAATTTTTGAAAATAGTATATAAATTCTAGGCGGACTTTTTTGCTAATAAAAATTGATGGCTAATAAATGAGAGGAGAAAATGCGTGTGCTTAAGTTTTACTCTAGACAATGACACATTTTCTGTACCATCCTAGTTAACTTTGTGGCAAACCTAAATTGCTCAAGTCAAAATGAGTGCAACAAAGTTAAGAGATTTCATATATCAAAGCAGTAAATGGGGCATACCACCATTCCTCTCTGCATTAAGTTCTGTTTCTTTTTAGTCATCCTTGATATCCTACAGAAGTAAACATGATACTATAACTCATGCGTATATAGATGGTGCCCCTGCGAAAGATGAGAATGAGATAACACTTTCACCTGTTT